CGCGAAGGGGAAAGGCTTCACCGCGCAGGCCGCCGCCACGCGCGCGGCGAGGACTTCGCTGACGTCCGCCCACGTCTCCTCCCAATCCCCCATCCAGCTTCCGCCGCACGGCGATAAGAAGCGGGGCGACACCACCGCCGGGCAGGCGCCACGCAAGCGCACGGGCGGGACGGTGAAGGTCATCACACCTCCCTCAGGGGGGGCGAGGACGCAAGACTCCGGGTTCCCCAATCTGACGCAGAACCAGGCATCACCGAAGTCGGGCACCAAAATCGAGAAAATCACCGGAGGGGAGGATAACGAAACTGATCCAAACGATTTCAGCAGTTTCTTTGCTAACGACAAGCTCACGATGCCGAATCTCGGGGAGGGAACCATCTCCGACTTGAAATCGACGTTGGGGCCAAGAGAAAATATTGGCGATACCTACTTTGATAACCGGACTTCCCTCAAGAATGGGGGTCTAGACGAATTCTTAGACGCTGACAAAAGTTACTCACAGAAGCAAATGCTAAGCTATAATACACAGCCTGGACACTCAATTACCCATCGCGCGCTGTCCTACGGTGCTAATGTTCCTCTTCAACAGGTTAGTGACATGTGCGATCTCGACATTATACTTGCCCCGGCCTGTATGGGCTACACTCTCGTTCGTTTCCGTCGTATTCATGGAAGCACCAGCGTATTTCACGAGGCAGTAACCTTTGTTTCCAACTTGTTGGAGGTTGAGCGCCAAAAGGCTGTGGAGGATACAATGCCAAGTGGGGAAAGTGAACTCATGTAAATTTTTATAAGAAAGCGTGTGAAAAAAAAACATATGATGATGATACTTGTAGCAAATCACGTCAAAATAGTTTTTTCTGAATAAAACGATATTTTTATATCATAGGTATATATATATATATATGTGTGTGTGCAATATATATAGATTATATATCCCAGATAGAGTGTTACGGTGGCAAAAGCGTGGAAATCACAGAATACTTATAGGTTTCTTATATATATATTTATTTTTATTCCTTAGTAATATCTAAACTTTAATCGAGAAGGTGCTTACGTCTCGTTTTAGAAATCGCGTTGAAAGTGAATACATTGAAAAATTTGTGTCTTTGTGATAATTCATTGGTTTTGAAAACCAAGTAATAACATTGAATCGATCTTTTTTTTCTTTCTATCAAAAGTAAATCTAGTCATATATATATAAATATATATATGTGTGTGTATGTGTATATATATGTGTAGCATTGATAATACTTAACGCGTAACTGGCCTATAAAGATATTTGTAACAAAAAACCTTAACTAAGGTATAGTACAAAAGCGAAAGCGACGATGTATTTCTTATGGACAATATAAATTCAAAAAGAGGTTTTACTAGTGACCTTGTAGTTTCCAAGCAGGAGAATCAACACTTAAGGACTCACAATGAAGAGGCGGAAAAGTCACATGAGGATAAAATTAACTGCCTTCAGCGTGAAAATCATTTTTTGCGTCAGCATATCTCAAAAATTCAGAAAGAGCACTCCGAGTTCCTCATTCACAATACTCACACCTCCATCAGCAAGGATCATGAGACTGCTCTAAGGTCGAAGGTTGCTTCTCTGCAAAATATGCTTGAGCGGGAAAAGCGGCACCGTGTGGCGAGGGAAAGTAAACTACAGGGTGTGATTAGGCAGCTGCGTCTTACCTTGGATAGACAGTTGGTAAAGGTGGATTCTGTAATCCCTCAGGCGGCCCCATCTTCACCACTGATTCGGAGCCATAGCGAACGCATCCAAGATTGGTCAGCAATGGTTGAACAATCAGCTGATACACCCCTTGACGATGTCATAGGTAAGCCTTTTGAAGCGAAGCCGATACGCTCATCATTGTCAAGCCTGAAAAGTATTCAAATATCAAGCGATAGGGCAAGTCATAACCACAGAATTGTGTTTGAGTCTTTTCGAAGGGGAACCATCGATGATGACAATGTCGATTCATTGATCCCTGAGGGAGGGGTTGATACAGAACAGGACACGCGAGAGGATAGGGGTATTTTCATAGACCCAGCCGAACCCTCTGAGTTTTTTAATAGTTCTATCGAACCCTCCGATCAAGCTGGGGTCCGAAGCTCTGGTAGTGCGAAACGGTTGGGATCCCCGTCGTATGGGGTCAGGGACGCTTATAGGGTGATGTGCTGGACGTCCAACCGCCACGATGAACAGCAAAGGCGATTGAGGCAACTCGCCGGCTCCCAACGCGACTCTAATCTTCAGGAGCAAACCAGCGAGACGAGCGACGTCGACGAGGCCGAGGCCCCCAACCGCATGCCTCGTTCTTTCACATCACCAGAGACCAATAGGAGGTTTGAGGTGCCCCTCTCGCCCTACGGGGCCAGGCCCTTCATCTCAGCTGTAAATTCGTTCACTGGCTATTCGCACAATCAAGGCGCCACGCCGTCGGACCCACAGAAGAACCCCAACCAAATTGGGATCGAAATCCTGGATGAGAAAAATCGCACCTGGTACACCAAACAAGTCTTGAGCATGGCGCTTCTCGGCGCGATTCCCCCTGAACGAGAGGACCGCTTCGGCGCGAACTTGGACGGCTCTACGACATCGATAGAGGTGAGGGAGAGCAACCTCGGTGGCCTTCATCCACCGCTTCGTCGGGCGGTAAGGCGGTTTAATCGAGCCGCAGCTCCTGGTCTAAACCCAAACAATAACAAACCCTCTCTAGTGAAGTCCCCGGAAACGGATGTGTCGTGCTTCCTATTGCGCTCGGATTCCCCTATCGACTCTAGCTTATCTTCAGATGGTTCCGATGCTTTCTCGTCCATGCTCAAATCCACAATGCCCATAACAAAAGAGGAGAACGTGACGGCATGTCAAGAGAAAAAAGCGGGCACTGGTGGAGGGATGCCCATGGAGAACGCCTCTGGAGGAGCGACTGGCCGGACCACCGCATCCACCAAGATGCCACTTCTCTACAAGGACGTTAATCCGCAAGCCATTCAGCGGGCGATAGAGGAGACGCTGTTTTTTCACTTTCACTGCGCCGATAATGCCCCTGTAATGACCCCTGGCATGAGGTTGCCAATCAAAAAATCCCCACTGCGCGCCTTTGCGCAGGACAACAACACCGATCCCAACCTCCTAGACAGCTTCTCGCCATTTCATAAATTTTCGGGCGTAGAAAATTTATCGGACGAAATGAATTTAGTCGCACCAGGGACATGTAAATATCGAGATGACGAAGTGTATATCTACTACCATGCACCCGTTATCTTTAGCCAAATCCGAAGCTTCTTGGGCTTGAATTCCAGTGTCTTGCGCTCTGCTCTAAAGAACTCAACGTGGCGGCAGAGTACAAGTCCCGGCAAGAGTGGAACAATGCTTTTCTTCTTTGGTGATTTTGTCATCAAGACGATTCGAAAGTATGAGTTTACCTTCTTTTGTCAGCGTTTCCTTCCAGACTATGTGCAGTATTGTGAGCGCACCCCCCATACGCTCCTACCTCGTTTCTTTGCTCTTCTAACGATGAAGTGGCCCAAACTCGGGGTCACGCAGCGGATGATTTTAATGCAGAACGTCTTTAAAACACGCTATTATATTCACCGTTTGTATGATGTGAAAGGAAGCACCGTTGGGCGAACGGCACTGCAGCCTGGAAAGGAGTCCACCCGTACCGCCTATGGGGCCCTGCTCCTGAAGGATAACGATCTACCCGAGCAACTTATTATTTGCGGACCGCATCAGCGCGACATTCTCACCTCGCAGCTCCGCAAGGATGTCAGCTTTTTGAGGTCTCTCAACATTGTCGACTACAGCTGCATGATTGGTGTTCGCGGCCGCTTCTTTCCAAAAGAGAAAAGCCCTTCCAAGATAGCTATGAAGCGCTGCAAAAATCCAGCGGCCTGCGTGCCTACGACCTCGCTGACTGAGAGCATCACCACCGAGGTTCAGGCCACCGGAGACGGTATGAACGGTTATGGAAACTTCCCTTTGGAGCTATCGTCGGGAGCTCGATTTTATAACCACCAACGCGAGATGATGAATGGAGTCAAAGTCTCTTATGTAGATAACAGTTTGAGTGTTTGCCCTCACGGTTGTGATGGAGGTTTGCTTTCCTTGCCGATCTGCGTCCCGGGTGACGATGCTCTAATGCGCGAGGAGGTCTATTATATTGGACTAATTGACGTCTTGCAGGAGTATAACTCAACAAAGATGCTCGAAAATTTCGCTAAAGGGTTCGTAAATGACCGCACACAACTTAGCGCGGTGCCTCCAAAAGAGTATGCCGAGCGCTTATGTCGTGTGATTGAGCGAATAACCGTGTAGCCCTCTTTGTTCCTTTAACTTCATCGTTTTACCATGCAAACAAAATGTTCCTGGCAAAAATGGTCACAGGATCAAATTCTTTTTGATACCTAACAGTCGAGCAACTACTCTATAAATTTGTATAAGCAAACCCAAATGAAATAATATGTTTGTAATACGCATTTATATATATCGACACACATATATATATATACAAATTCTTTATCAGGACAATTAAATCCAGTTTACACGTCATACCAACCTGTGTTCAAATTCTGCAATCCTTATGGATGTGTGATTGATAATTTCTTTATACTCACCCTCTCTTTCCCCCCCCCTCTTCCCCTCAACAAGCTGCTGCTTTCAATTTCGCTGTATGTTTATCAAAGTAGCATAAAGCTGTCTCGGAAGGGTAATATCTCGCATAATACACGAACACGCAGGTAGTGGACTGTAAGGTTAGGGAATAAGGCGTGTATTGAATGTTATGGAAAGCAAACAAGCATCAGGCGGTTGCTATAGCAATGTCAAAAAAAATGGCAGCGAAAGTCATGCATGTGAAGACATCACCAATCAATCCACCCCCACTACCTCCACACCGTGGACTAACCATTCCACTGACGGTACGTGTCTGTCCCCGGACCATCTTAAATATCTAAAGCTCATTTTCGAGGTCTACGATTATGTACATGCTTTGGTAAATGGCATTCTGACTCATACTTCTAGAAATTCATCTGACCACTATAGAAACTTCCATTCCTCCGAAGGGTTCGGTTCTGGACGGGAACGATCAAATACAAAAAATGATCGAAACAAAAAAAGCAAAGCAACCAGTAAGACATACTTTCATGGACCCTATTCTCAGGGTTCCTTAATGGGCGAAGCCGGAAAGATGAGCCGCCGGGGAAAGCCTAATGCCACCCCATTTTTTGAAGAAGGCGATTGTTTAGATGAAATAGATGCCGTTTCTTTTGATCAGCACAACTACTGGGAATATGTATTTGACCTTGATCCAGCGGCCTTAGGGGAAGGAAACCTGCCAGATGCGTGTAAGTTATTTTTAATGAACGAAAACGATAAAGAAGCGATATTAAGCAACCCATACGAAAAGAGTCCTTCTCTGAACCACAAGTTTTCTCATATTTTAGCCTCTTTGCATAGACTTGAAAAGCGCCAACGTATTGAGGCAAATGGCATGAAAAAAGGAAACCCATTTGAGCTCTTGGTATCTGAAGCGTTAACCAACTCCGCATTGGACTACAATGAAGTGGAGCGTGATCCGAAAGAGAATGGCAAAAAGGATGGAAAAGGTAGCTTATCCAACCCCAGTGTTATTTTTTCTTCCCGTCAAAGGCAATCAAGTATAAATAGTGACCACCTTGATACCGAGGCCGTCCCTCAATCGCTAATGAGTTCAGGAAGTCTGTTCGAAAATAATATGAACAAGTATCAAAATGCGAAAGATCGATTTATCCGTGAATTTTGGTTCTATCACGAGGCTTGCCAAGATGTTTTAAAGGAAGAGATCAAACATATGTTGCATTGGAAAAGACTACAGCTGATCTGTCGATCACAGGTGGAGCTATATGATAGTAAGACCAAGACGGCGATAGCGGATGGGATGTCCCCTCGGCAGAATATCGACCACCTCTTACTACTAAGCCCCCCGAATAGTGAAATCACCATCGCCGAGTCTGCGCCCTTCGCCTTTGAACCCCTGGGCCTCCCGTCAACCCGCGGCGTCCCGTTCCGTTTCTTCGCGTGGTTTGTGGTGGGTCCGCTTTTTTCCTTTTTCTTTCCCAGCGCCGGGGTGACGTCCTCGGCGAAGCCGCTGACGTCTTGGTCGCTCCCCTTCTCGGGCCGCGGCGAGGCGGCCTCGTCCTCCGCCAGGGCGGAGGGGCGGTCGGGGGAGTTTAGGGCGGGCCGCCTCGTGGAGGGCGCGCGGAGCGGGTTTTCCCCCTGGAATGCCCCGCAGATGGAGGCCATTCGGCAGCTTTTTCTTCTGATCGATACCAACGCGGACGACCGGGTCACTTGGGACGACCTCAGCGCGTACGCTTTGAAGATCGTTCAGACGCCGGGATCGGCCGGGGCGGGCGCCGGCAAGTCCGGCCTAGCTGGGGGTAATGATAAGAATCAGGAGTACGTGCCGTTCCCGATTATGAAGTTTTTTAACTTCACCGAGATTCCCACAAATCGGAGTCCCTGGCAGGAAAACTACCCTCTTGTTCATCATCTTTACCACCGAGAGGCATTCACGAAGTTGTTGATTTGCGAGCGAAGCAGCGGGTATATCACCGCGGGGCTTGATGGGTTGGTGAAGCTGTGGAAGCCGGATCTCTGTTTTTATCGCCAGAATACAATTTCGAGTTCCACCACTGGGCTAGAGGGGAAATCAAACGGGAAAAACACCGGCCAGACCGATGTGGGCGCGAACGGTGGGTTGCCCCATGGTAGCCCCTTCGCGGATAAGGACAACCCAAAGGCGTTTAGGGGAAAATGTGGTGGGAAGCCGCCTATTGTGCACATTCGGCACCTGCTGAGCGCGCGCGCCGCCATCACCGACCTCGCGCTCTCGCCGGCCTCGCTTGGGGATGCGGAGGTGATGGCGGTGACCTCCATCGACGGCACGACGACCTTCCTGCGGGTGATCACGGGCGAGGTCATGCGGACTTTTTTGGGCATTCGCTATAATGAAAAGCAGGTCGCCTCGACGGCCGCGCAGGGGAAGGAGCCCGCGGAGGATCCCAACGAGGCGAGGCGGCTTTCCAAGGCCCTGGCGAGGCCCCCCGGGCGGACGCCAAGCTCGATTTTCGAGGGGTCAGTCTCTCGGATGCCCTACACCATCCGGGCCTACCGCGACGACTCCATTGAGATTTTCTTCGGCCAAACGAGCAAATACTTCAAGGGGCTGGTGGTGGTGCCGCCGACCTTCGAGCACCTCAACCGGCCCGTGACCGTCGCCGCGGATCTTCTGCTGAACTTCGGCCTGCCGGCGGGGGGGGGAGGGGGGTCCTTCGCGGCGGCGGCAGCGTCGGAGAAAGGGGAGGCGGTGCCCTGGTTCGCGACCGCCGTGGCGATGGCCCGCTGCCCCTCCCTCTTCCCCGGCAAACGGCGCCGTCGGGGGAACCCCAATCGCCCGGAGGAGGCGCCCAAAGCCCTCCCCGAGCATGGCGAGCCGTCGGAGCGGACGGGGCCCTTCACGGGCTGTGTGTTGTTGGGCTTCGAGAACGGCGTCCTTCAGGTCTTTGCGCTGGAGCGGAACTGGTTTTCCATCCACGAGTGGTCCATGCAGGAGAACGGCTACCAAGAGCCGCCCTGCGTGCGCCGCCCACTCTTCAGCGCGCGCATCCACGCCGGCGCCATCACCCGGCTGATCATCTCGGAGGCCTCGAACTCGCTTTTTAGCGTGAGTGAGGACGCCACCGTCTGCATTCGCGCACTTTCACGGCTGGAGGCGCCGGCGTTAATGCAGTTTGGGAATGGCATGGGGAGCCCACCCCGGCCGGTCTCGGGCGCTTTGCCCGCCGCGCGAGCGGTGGGGAATCTCCCCGAGCACGCCCCCAGGGTGGGGCATACCAAACGCATTACCTGCGTCTGTTGGAATGAGCAGTACCACCTGCTCGTGACCGGCGGCCGGGATCACATGCTGATTTTTTGGTACCCTTTGATGAACCGACCGATTCACGAGATCGACGTTCACAACCTGGCGAACCAGGCGGCCCAGAATCCCACCATCTGCTCCGCCGTCGCCCGGAAGGAGCTCGGGACCTGCGGGTATCCCGTCGATGTGAGCTTGTTCATTCGCCCGATCCCAGGTCTCACCGCGGAGAACGGGTTTGCCTCGATGGAAACCCCCTTGTGGCTTCTCGTTTTGAGCAAGCAACGCGTTATTTTTATCATTCACGCCCCGACCGGTCGACTCGTCAAGGCCCTGGTTGATCACTCGGTCGCGTCGATGGCGCTTGGGGATCTTCTCGTGGCTCGCTATGAGGGGATGTGTGATCGCTTGCTTCTTGGTGGGTTCTGTTTAAGGGTGTGGGATATGGAATCCGATAGCGGGGGGTATCCAAACGAGTACGTGGGGCACCGTCAGCCCGTTTTGTACATGAATTACGCCCCCGACTTAGCCGCCTTCATCACGGCGGACAAGGATGAGATACGGGTATGGAAAGTGGCTCTTGAAATGAACCGCACACGAAGAGACACGTCATCGACCATCCTGACTAGCGGAGCGGCGGCGCACGAAAACGGACGCCCAAGTGGGAACAATCCACTATGTCTGGAGGACAATAACGCTTCTAACGCGAGTCGGTTATATAAAAGTTATCTCAGCGGAAATAGCGACCTGGAAAGCACGAATGAGGCCCCCCAAGAGCCGGCGTGGCGTTTGAAGTCCAAGGTCATACGCGCGTGGTATGTCCCGGAGGGCATCAGCGCCGTAACCCTGATCCGGACGAGTAGCCACCTCGCCAAACAGGAAGACCGCGCTCCACGAGGGATGGAGGATGGGGAACCTCCCATAGATTCCTCCCCCTCGTCGATGTCGAAGCTGACGGTGACCTTCCAGAACGACGGGAGCGCGGGATCCGTGGCCTACACGCTCTTCGTCGCGCTGCTTTGGGAGGCGGCAGTGGTCCAATATAGCATTTTGAATGCCGCGCCGCTTCGTCGCTTCGCCTTGCAGCCACCTCCTTTGCTCACAACTAGTCTGAACGCGCGCGTTGGGGAGGCCGACGAAATCCTTTGCTCCTTTTGCGTGGGCCATAGAACTCACTACCCACCGTTCAGTCCTGGCGCTGCGGATGCCCGTATAACATCGCAGAAGCGACGGCCTATTGGGGGCGGCCGATACCCCGCAAAGCAGGTCCAGCCGGTGTTTCTGTGTACGGTTTACAAAGACCAGGACCCGCAAGCCGGGATCGCCTCGATTTATCATGTTCAAAAGAATCAGCACAAATCTTCCACGACAACTGACTTGTCTTTGGAAACTTTGACCCCCGACGCGTGCTCTCGTCTAAATAGCGAGAATGTAAAGGGTCAAAAGCGCAAATGCCAGACAAGACATCCACCACCGAAGAAATTAGCCAAAAAGACAACCACCATCGTCGAAGACGGCACCCCCAATCACCAGAAGCCCTACCGTCAGCTCATTTTTAAGGATACGGCGATTGCGAGCATCACGACTGTAAACGCGCTCGGGGTGATTGCGGTTGGGGGAAACGGTCGGCTTCACACGACGCGCATGTCCGAATCCACCTCCCGCGCGCTGCCGTGTTTTACGCTGGAGGAAGTCCTCAACGCCACGCGGTGCGTAAATCCCCCCACCAACGACGGGCGGGAGCAGCGGGGAGGGGGGGGGAAACATGCCCCCCAACCCCGCACCGCAGCGTCGCTGAATCTCATGACGTTATTTCCCGGCCGCCTCGCGCCGCGCCCTGAAGCCCTTCGAACGAGAGGAAAGCCCGACGCGACGCCGCCGGAGCTAAGCTTCCCCACAAGCGCCCCCGCGATGGATCTCCTGTCCTGTTTGCTTCCTATTATTGTCAAAGCCAAAAACGCTTCTTCGTTTGTGAATTTGGTCGTCTCCGGCCGAAACGACGGGCTCGTGCAGTTCTGGGATGTGGACCAGATGGTCGAGTGCTTTCGTTTCCAAGCCACATGGGGTGTGGGTATCGCGGTGACGGCGCTGGATTACCAACCTTTCGGCGAGGTCGCCGCGTGCGATGTGAAGAGAAATGGGATCTTTAAAACCCAATCCGTCGGACCCGATGATCATGTGAGTCGACCACCCGACGACGACACGGACGGTTTCCTCGCCATAGGGGATCAAGTCGGCTGTGTTATGATAATAGGCATTAATAGCACCACGTTTATCGCCTCGCGGCGATTCGCTGCAAACACCCCACAACCATGCTCGAGAGGTGGGTTAACGTTCCAACCACAAGGGCAGACGCCTCCCCGGCCGTCTTCACAGGCCACCAATGCCGATAACCTTCCACTCATTTCTCACACTTCCCACAACCTGCAATCGGGTCCACAATCGCAGATGCGGCGTATTCCTCTCATATGGAATAGCTTGGAGCAGGCATTCACCGTCCTGGGCCGCTGGAAAGCTCACGATCACAGCTGCGGCGGCGTACGAAACGTTTGTTTCGCCGGGTCGCTAAATAATTATCCACAAGGAAGCGAAACCAAGCGGTTTGACCGTGAGGACTCGCAAGATGCGGTCTCTCCTTCCGTCAGTTCGTCTCAGTGGTTAATCTCTTCCGGCCCATCCAGAGTCGGTAGCGCAAATCCAAAGAAACATGCGCCAATCCTCATCGCATCCATTGGGGCAAGCTCCTTTGTGTATGTATGGCGATGGGAGCAGGATATTGGCGTGCAATGCATCGGCTGCTTCGGTGGCGATGATGTGTCGATGTGGCCTGGGAAAAATCCCATAACTTCCGGTCCACCCCCTGCCTTTAATTTTCCGCCTTCTTCCTCACGGTGTAAATCCTACGATGATGCGCGGAGTCAGTATGTTTTGAAACGTTTGATCCGAGATGCGAACCTTTTCGCGATATCCTACGGCGATTCAACTTCTCCGGTATCCATATCGAATCCGCAGAATGCATCGCACTCGTCTCTGGCAAATTGCCGGAGTGACTTCGTGACCATAGAGAGCGACAAGAAGCTTTTCATTGAAATCACCAAAGCGCTTCTTTTGATGTCGCAAGATGTGAATTTGCTCGTGCTGCTGGACCCTGCCTGGACGGCGTCCGCCCGATTATTCGCGAGCGACCTCCGCAACGAGCACGACCGCTGCGCAAAGGCGCTTGAACGCGACACCCGCGAGCGCCTGCAGGCGATGCTTCTCAAACCCAGAAACGGCCGCATGCCGAAGAAGGCGGACTCGGCCTCGCCGTCCGTGGGCCACGGCGACGACGACGAGCGGCCCCCTCCCTGCCCCCCGATCGCGTCCTCGCGGCACGCGGTCTTCGTCTTCGCCTTCGCCCGGGGCGCCCACGGCGAGGGCTCGGTGAAGGACGGCCTCGAGCGCGCCCTCCGCGCGGTCCTCGCGACGGCGGAGGGGGCCGCCGCCGCCCGGGCCGCGGCGGACAAACTCCACGCCAGCGCCTGGGAGGGCTCCACCGCGCGGGCGCCCAAGCCCAGCACCAAGCGGCCCTCCCTGCTCTTCACCATCCCGCCCAGCTACG